GGGAGCCAGCCGCAGCAGCCCTAAGGGCTCAGTGGGGACAGGCGGCCCCGGATGATGTCCTACCTCCAGCTCCCTGGCCGCGACCTGGAGCGCTTCGATGGGCTTTCTCTCATTTACTGGTAAGCAGGGCAGGCTGCTGCCACACCAGGAACGGGGCATCGCTCGGTGTCTCGGACCCAATCTTTGGGAGGGGCATTAGGGAGGATGTGTTTGGTGATCCTGTGGCTTTTTGTGGGGTTTAATTCAATTCATTCTGGTGGCCCCTCTCCAGAGGGCTGGGTCTCGTGGGGGGTCCCACAGCACCTTCACCTGAGCCCCCCTGGGAGGGGCAGCGCACAGGTGAGGCCAGTATCAGCCAAGGGTGGGGAAGGGGATTTATTTTGCAGGCAACAGCTGGGGAAGTACCCACAGCCTCTACAAACAGTTGTGGGGGCTCTTGCTCCTCTTGTAGCTCTAGTGCTGGGCTCTCCCATCCAGCAAAACCAGCCTCCCCAAAGTGATCTTCTCCACCCTGTGCTGGTGTCTGGGGGAGACAGGTGGGTGCAGAATGGGAAGCCCTGTGTGGGGAAGGTGGTGGGCACGGAGGAGGGAACGGGAGGTAAAGGCAAGCGCTGGGTGGCTGCAGATGTCTATGTAGGGCAGAGAGAGCTGGCGGGAGCGTGTCTGTGGCTGGGGCCAGGGTTCAGAGTGTGCGGCTTTAGCCGATTAACTGGGGGTCAGTGGGCCGGATCCAGAGCTGGCGGGGGCCCTGGCGGGTTCTCGGGGCTACCCTGAAGTTTGGCAGAGGCTTTCCTGGGCTGGCTGAGCCGGGGTGTCCCCGGCCTGGGGTCTATGTAGGGCAGAGAGAGCTGGCGGGAGCGTGTCTGTGGCTGGGGCCAGGGTTCAGAGTGTGCGGCTTTAGCCGATTAACTGGGGGTCAGTGGGCCGGATCCAGAGCTGGCGGGGGCCCTGGCGGGTTCTCGGGGCTACCCTGAAGTTTGGCAGAGGCTTTCCTGGGCTGGCTGAGCCGGGGTGTCCCCGGCCTGGGGACTGAGAGCCCAGGGCACCCTGCGGTCACT